GATAGACTTTATATTCGTCTTCTTCATAATATTCTTCTGAAGTATATTCCTCATCATTATATTCTTTCTCATAATATTAATCAGCAAGATGTACGTCTCTTGTATTATCATAACGAGGTCTTCTATCAGTTCCTCTTAGTTGTTAACGAGGTTGAGGATAATATCTAGCTATGTGGCCTTCCCTGTTACAATTGTAATAAGTCATAGAAGACATGTTTTGTCTGGGTCTTTTATTAGTATCATTGTAGGATCACTTGGTTCGTCTCCTTGGTGGTTGTTGAGGTTGAGCTAATAAGGCAGTCATCAGATTAGCATAATTAATAGATAGTTGTTCTAATTTCTTAGTGAGTTCATCCACTTCAGCATTAGTAACCACATTTTTAGGAGTGGAAACTGTGGTAATACTAATATCTTTAGATGCTTTTCCAGAGGCAAAATTATATCCAATTTCAATAGTTCGCGTAGAATTTATAGTAGCATTTAAATCAGCTGGATTTTGTGAGTAGACTAGAGGAGTGTAAGCAGGATTCAGTCCCATAAGGAACATCCTTTTCTTCTGTGCATCATTTGTTAATCCTACACAAGTCACTAATTTCTTGAATTTATTAATATAAGAATCTACAGACTCATCTGTTTGTTGACATAAAGAAGTTAACTCCTGATACCATTGATTTTTCTTGGTTTCACTAATAAAATGAGCTTTGAACAAATTTACAAAGTTTTGGCCTCCATTTGTTCCAGTATCCCAATGGTCTCCTATAGCAGTAGTAACGCTATCAAACCAATCAGCTGCTGCACCTCTGAAGTATCCTCCAGCAAAGGCTTTCTTTCAGGCTTCATTGGTCCATCTGTTGGTAATGACAGCTCTTTTAAATGCAGTGAGCCACTCTACAGGATCTTCATTTTCAGCTTCTGAAAAATAATCAACTTTGATAGTAGATCTTTCTTCTCTTTATGCTAGTCAAAGTCGTTCACTAATATCTGTTAAGTATTGTCCATCAGTTCCAAAAATATTTTAGAAGATGGCTCTCATTTCAGCTCCTGAGGCAGCCATTATTTCAGTTTCAACTGGGATGAGTTAGGGATGAATTTGTTAAGCTAGATGTAGAAGGTGTTGAGGAAGTAACAAGCTGTTGTAATAATCATCGATCTGCTATAGGCCTTACTAGGTCTTGTTCTAAAATTTCAGTATATATCCTTAAAGAAATAGATAAAGTAACGTGTTGTTGAAAACAATTTGTTTAAAATGATATGCCTTGTATATACAGATATATTACGTCTGCTGAAAAAGGTCAAACATGATATTGAATACTAGAAAGAAGTTAGTAGATAACTCTTATTAGGCGAGAGTTACGATGTTCAGATTCAGGAGTATCACTAAGTTCAAATAAATTAAAGGCAATGGTAGTTCTTGAGGTAAAGGTATCTGCTTGGTATTCTTGTTTAAATCAGTTCTAGAAATTATTAAAGCTATTGGTTAAGAGGTCTGTCTAAAAAATGCCTAACTATATACTTTGATGTAGTTCTCTTAAGTTTCTCAAAATTCATATACCTCGCTAATTCTTCAGTGGTTCGTTGTGTATATCTTCAATAAAGATTCTTCTAGCAGGAATCACCACTTATTAAGCTTAAACACTACGTCGTTAAGATAACAAAGCTTATTTGCTAACAGGGAGTTTAAGTTGTAAACTATGAAAGAAATAAACACGAATTTATTTAAGTTGAAGGGT